TCTCACCAGGACAAACAAGAGTCTCTGCTATTAGGAGCCAGCGTCCCCCAGCTAAGGAGAGAAGGTACACTCCACGTGGCGATCTATGGTTTTACCTCCGTGAGCACGGAGAAGATATGAGGAAGTGGGATGGGAAACCCACCCCTTCCTTAGCAGCCCGGGTACGTGAACTGAAAAGAGGAACAAGTACCACAAGGAACTCTTCAAGGGTAAACGCTGCTCCAGTCTCTCGTGGGCAAGACTCCAGACGGTACAGGAATGATGATACGTCTGATCCTCTTGAAGGGACCTCCAGGTCATACCCACAAGAAGAGCACAATGAGTACCATGACCAGGACTAGGGGTGCCCTGCCTCTAGCCAGGTAGAGGAGAGGGACAATCGAGTCTATTGGACAGTGTGGATTCGGTGGCCTGGCACATCAGAGCCACAAAGGTATAAGGCCTTAGTGGACACCGGCGCACAATGTACTTTAATGCCATCAAGATACGTAGGGGCAGAATCCATCTCCATTTCTGGGGTGACAGGGGGATCCCAACAGCTGACTGTACTGGAAGCTGAAGTGAGCCTGACTGGGAAGGAATGGCACAGACACCCCATCGTGACTGGCCCAGAGGCCCCGTGCATCCTTGGCATAGATTACCTGAGGAGTGGGTATTTCAAAGACCCAAAAGGACTTCGTTGGGCTTTTGGCATAGCTGCTGTGGAGACGGAGGAAATTAGACAGTTGAACACCTTGCCTGGTCTCTCAGAGGACCCCTCTGCTGTGGGACTGCTGAAGGTTGAAGAACAATTGGTACCGATAGCCACAGCAACAGTGCACCGTCGGCAATACCGCACCGACCGAGACTCTGTGACCCCTATACATAAGATGATCCGTGAACTGGAGACCCAGGGGGTGGTCAGCAAGACTCGCTCACCCTTTAATAGCCCTATATGGCCAGTGCGTAAGTCCAGCGGAGAGTGGAGGCTGACGGTGGATTACCGTGGACTCAATGAAGTCACACCACCCCTGAGTGCTGCTGTGCCGGACATGCTGGAGCTCCAGTACGAGCTGGAGTCCAAGGAAGCCAAGTGGTATGCCACCATTGACATTGCCAATGCCTTTTTCTCCATTCCTTTGGCAGCTGAGTGCAGGCCACAATTTGCTTTCACTTGGAGAGGTGTGCAGTACACCTGGAATCGACTGCCTCAGGGGTGGAAACACAGTCCCAGCATTTGCCATGGACTGATCCAGACTGCACTGGAAAAGGGTGAGGCTCCAGAGCACCTACAGTACATTGACGACATCATTGTATGGGGGAACACGGCGGGCGAAGTCTTCGAGAAAGGAGAGAAGATAATCCAGATTCTCCTAAGAGCCGGTTTTGCCATTAAACGGAGTAAGGTCAAGGGACCTGCTCAGGAAATTCAGTTCCTAGGAGTGAAGTGGCAAGATGGACGCCGCCTAATTCCCATGGAGGTGATTAACAAAATAGCAGCCATGTCCCCACCAACCAGCAAGAAGGAAACACAGGCTTTCCTAGGCGCTGTGGGCTTTTGGAGGATGCATATCCCCGAGTATAGTCAGATTGTAAGCCCTCTCTACCTTGTGACACGGAAGAAAAATGATTTCCAGTGGGGCCCCGAACAACAACAAGCCTTTGAACAAATTAAACAGGAGATTGCCCATGCGGTAGCCCTTGGGCCAGTAAGGACAGGACAGGACGTGAAGAACGTGCTCTACACCGCAGCCGGGGAGAATGGCCCTTCTTGGAGCCTCTGGCAGAAAGTGCCTGGGGAGACCCGAGGACGACCGCTGGGATTCTGGAGTCGGGGATACAAAGGATCTGAAGCCAGTTATACACCAACTGAGAAAGAGATCCTGGCTGCCTATGAAGGAGTTCGAGCTGCCTCAGAAGTAATCGGCACCGAAGCGCAGCTCCTCCTGGCACCCCGACTACCAGTGCTGGGCTGGATGTTCAAGGGAAGAGTTCCTTCCACACATCACGCCACCGATGCCACGTGGAGTAAGTGGATCGCTCTGATCACGCAGCGAACCCGGATAGGGAACCCTAATCGCCCTGGGATTCTGGAAATTATCACCAATTGGCCCGAAGGTGAGAGTTTTGGACTATCCTCTGAAGAAGAGGAGGAGAAGGTGACACGGGCTGAGGAGGCCCCACCATATGACAAGCTACCAGCAGATGAAAGGCGATATGTGCTCTTCACGGATGGCTCCTGCCGCATTGTAGGGACAAACCGAAAATGGAAGGCAGCTGTATGGAGTCCCACACGGCGAGTTGCAGAAGCGACTGAAGGACAAGGTGGGTCAAGTCAGTTTGCAGAGCTTAAAGCCGTTCAGTTGGCTTTGGATATAGCTGAACGAGAGAAGTGGCCAAGACTCTATCTCTACACTGACTCATGGATGGTGGCCAATGCTCTGTGGGGATGGCTGGAGCGATGGAAAAAGGCCAACTGGCAGCGCCAAGGGAAACCCATCTGGGCGGCGGAGATGTGGCAGGACATCGCTGGCCGGGTAGAGAAGCTGAGTGTGAAGGTCCGTCACGTAGACGCTCATGTAGGCAAGAAACGGGCTAATGAGGAGCATCGTAACAACGAGCAGGCGGACCGAGCTGCCAGGATTAAAGTCTCTCAGGTAGATCTGGATTGGCAGCACAAAGGAGAATTATTTCTGGCTCGATGGGCCCATGACGCCTCTGGTCACCAGGGGAGAGATGCAACATACAGATGGGCTCGTGACCGAGGGGTGGACTTAACCAAGGACATTGTCTCACAGGTCATCCATGACTGCGAGACGTGTGCTGCCATCAAGCAGGCCAAGCGGGTGAAGCCTCTATGGTCTGGCGGACGGTGGTCAAAGTACAGGTATGGGGAAGCCTGGCAAGTTGACTACATCACGCTCCCCAAAACCCGCCAAGGCAAGCACTACGTACTGACCATGGTAGAAGGAAGTACTGGATGGTTGGAGACATACCCCGTGCCTCATGCCACTGCCTGGAATACCATCCTGGGCCTTGAAAAACAAGTCCTGTGGCGACATGGCACCTCAGAGAGAATTGAGTCTGATAATGGGACCCATTTCAAGAATGGCCTCGTAGACACCTGGGCCAAAGAGCACGGCATTGAGTGGGTGTATCATATCCCCTACCATGCACCAGCTGCTGGAAAAGTTGAGCGGTGCAACGGACTGCTGAAAACCACCCTGAAGGCACTGTGTGGAGAGACTCTCAAACACTGGGAACTGCATTTAGCAAAGGCCACCTGGTTGGTCAACACCCGAGGCTCCATCAATCGAGCTGGCCCTGCCCAATCAGAACTTTTGCATACTGTAGATGGAGATAAGGTCCCCGTGGTACATATGAGAGGAATGTTAGGGAAGACTGTTTGGATTAGTCCCACCTCAAGCAAAGGCAAACCCATCCGAGGGATTGTTTTTGCTCAGGGACCTGGTTCCACCTGGTGGGTAATGCAAAAAGATGGGGAGACACGTTGTGTACCACAAGGGAACCTAATTTTGAGTGAGAATGGTCTGTAATGTTTCATTGTATATATATATATATATAGATAGATGTATATAGTTTTAAAGGGATATAGTTTTTTAAAGGGGGTTAATTTGGGCATGACATGGATGGCATAGAATAAGGGGTGGATAATGTCCTAGTTAGGACAACTGAGACCAGTTCATCAGGGTATGGGTGTAACCCAAAACTGTGTATTCTATAGCCTTCCATGCCATTTCCCAGAAACTGTTATCAATGAACCATTTACACCATCTGCCCATAGAGCCTGACTCCTCAGGCTATAAACTAGGTGTTAAGAGGCCTGTGAGATAGGAGGATGCTCCTGTCCTCACACCCTTTGTGGAACTCCCCGCCCTGAGGGAAGTGCTGAGCATTCCTGCCTGAACTGCAGGATATATAATCTTGGAGTCTTGGAACATTTTTAACCACTCTGTGGGATCCAGAGAAGGACTGCGGCTCATCGCTCTCAAACAGACTTGGATCACCACCCTATACTGGACTCCAATCACCACTTTGACCAGACTGCAACAGCTCTCCCCCCAGCATCTCACTGCAATCACCACTTTTGACCAGACTGCAACAGCTCTCCCCCCAGCATCTCACTGCAATCACCACTTTTGACTAGACTGCAACAGCTCTCTCACCAGCAGGTTCTTCCCCTCTCCCTTTACTTTGGACTCAAGCGGGGCCCAAGGAACACCACGTTGTTCATGCCCCAGGGTACTGGGTTATACATTTGGGTTTTGTGGGTTAAGACCAATTGTTTGTTTGTATGATTGTACTTACTGTATTATTTTAGTAAATTGTTATTCTGACTTATAATGTCTCCTTTGAGTTGAGTTCATTTCCCCTGCTGGTTAACTCTTAAACCAGCACAGATGTGAAAGGAACATCACTGTGGATGTAGTTAAAATGCATAGACTGACCTTCCGTCAGTGCTGCTTTCTGTTCATCTGCAGTGAAAGTCAGGGAGAGAGAAGCCACTAAACTGCATAAAAGGAGAAGAGCCCACTACCAGAGAAACCATTTGGGGTTTGTATTTTCTTTCGTTCTTGGTTATTTCTATTTATTCTTTGCTCTCCTTTTTACTTATACTTAGAACCATGAAATGACAGCTTGGTGCTTCCAAGAACTGGATCTGGCCTACCTCTAACCTTCTCTTCCCTTCAAGCTGCAAGCAGATTGCTTCTACAAATCAGCCTGCATTTCAAACATCACCACACACTTTTCTGAGTTTCTTCTATCCAGAGTGCCTGTAGCAGGAGGAGGTGGATGCTGGAGCCTTCAAGGCCAGCTCTATGGTTAGAGGTGTGCCAACAACTGTGTCAGCACCAACAATGGCAGAGAGGTTGTAAGATTTCAAAGGGCTGATTTGGCAGGTATGGTATCCTATCTTGCCTAGATACAAACCCACATGACACCTTGTTCCTAAACACAAAATACTGTGCACTGCAAGAACTTCACACTTGAGCACAGGGTCAACAAGGCGAAAGGAAGGCAGCAGAGAAGGAGCAGAAGAAAGGTGTCTTCTCTGAGCCTTTTATTTGGAATCACATGAATTCACACACTCTGTACTATTCCTAAAACATGGTTCCAGTACTATTGTTCTGGCTCGTGTAGAGCTTTCCTAAAGTTACTGCCCAGCTACATGCACCAATATCTCATTTCTCTTCACAGACTCAAACATGGTTCCTAGCAAAGCAATCAAATTACAGAAACATTGATTTAAGTTTAGAGGTTCATTTTCATTCAATAAACAAAAAATGAAATTGAAACCTGTCAAAAAAATGCTGCAGGTTTTTAAGATTTGAAATTCATGGGGCTCCTCTGAAGTGACAAATATTTTTTTGCTTGTTTGTCAATGAGGCTCATCAAAGTAACAGTGCCAGGAAAATTCCCTGTAAACAATTTCAGTCTTCCAGTGGTTTCAGCATATCCCAGCTGGCATTTTCAGGCCTCTGCCCTTGGAGCACAGGAATCAATCCTCTTGGATTGCAGTTTCAGCACACAACATAGCACTGTTGAAATCCACTGGTGTGTTACAGCTCTCATGTGACAGCCAACATCCTGCACTGAAAGCTGTGGTAGTTTTTTTGACAGATTGGGCTTTTCAGAGATCCCCAGACAGCTCTGACAGATTAGCGCCGCAGCCTGAGAAAGAATGCATGCTTACACTCCTTGCTGTCCAAGGGGTAATATTTATCATAAAAATCCAAAATGTATTCCTCAGTCTTAAATCCAAACTTCTGGTAGAGCAGCATAGCAGGGTTGCTTGCAGAGACGTGAAGAGTTACATCTTTGCCCATGCAGGTCTGCCAAAGGGAAGGGGGAAAGAAAAAAAGAAGATATCACAGTGAGAGAATGAGACAGCCTCTGGGGGAATGCAGAGGTGAGGAGATTCATCAGTTCAGGTATTCAAGTTACTGAGGAAATGTGAGAAAAGCTGGAGGCCCCGACACAGAAGTCATCACACATAGTAAGAGCAAAGGCAAAGGGAACGCTGCTATTCCTTCAAGCCTTTGTTTCTGGGAGACATGGACTCTCTGCCAATGAAAGCAGGTTTGGGATTATAATTTGTCATCTTTCCATTGTCAATTACTAAAGTAATTGTTAATTAAAAATAATCTCAGTGTACAGCACTGATTTCAGATACTTAACAAAACATGCCAGAGGATCAGGCACCTTACTGCACTCCTCCCCATCAGCAAACAGAGCTGAGCTCTCTGTGACCACTGGAGCAGCCCCAGGGCATCTCTGGGCTGTCACACTAGAATTCCTATCTATTCCACCCAGCTCCTCTCCCACCCTTCAGGGCACAGCACTCCACCTACTGAGAAGGCAGGAATCCAGTTCAGACAGCAAACAGCATGGCTGAAGTTACCTTAAAGATACCAAATTATTTTAACTAGCAACACCGATAAAGACGCTGAAGTAATTTTTTTTCTGCTTTCATCAAGTGTTTTAATAGCATTCTATGTATATGGAATGTATTGTAACTGTAAGTGGGAACAGTAAAATCCTTTAGAAAATTTCCAAGGCAGAACATTCAAAGGTAAAGCTCTCACAGGGGATTTAAGGAGGGAAGGAAAAGAAGAAATAATTCAGAGCAGGTTTTTGGGGAAAAGAAAGTTTGAATGAGATCATTAAGAAAATGCAGTTTGCTCCTCTGGGCCAGATGCATTAGAGGGTAACTTCTGAGAGCAAACCAGTCACTACTATTTGCATCAAAACACTTCCTGTTAAGTTATGCTTTTCTCAAGAATTCCCCCCCAACCTCAGCCCATTGATCCAAAAGTAAGGGAACTACTCTTAATCTGAACAGCATATGAAAGTGTCTCTAGCTATAGAGAGTAAACCCCAAGCCCAAGCAGGGTGCGAAGCAGCACCTACAATCTAGTGTTTGAGGAACAGAAGGTCACAACCACCATTTAAGCTCCTACATGGCTAAATGCCTTCTACCACTGACAAAAAGTCAGCAATGGAAAAATAAATCTAATGTGAGCCAAACATAATGCTGATCTCATTGCTAGTGAGCCTAATCAGCCTCAAATCTGCTTGGCTTTCCTGAACTTGGTAATTTTATGCTAGTCTACCTGCAAGCAGGATTAGGTTAATTTGATGTGATACATCCTACAAAAAAGGTGTAAGGATTTTCTACAGCTGACTTGCCAATGCATCCCAACTCTGCTGGAGAGAGAGTCTTCCAGAGTCCACCTGCTGGATCCCTGCAAACCTCAGCACATTGCTCGCATGTGTTCTCACTGGGTGTTGACATCTCACATCAACAGACTACAGCTGAGGGCAATTTACTTCAACACACAGAGATGCTTGAGAAATGCAAGGAGTGAATTTAAAGTATATTGGTTAGTGGCCTGTGTCAACACATAGATAAAAGAGGTGGACACTGCAGAGAGCTGTAAAGGTAGAAGAGTTACCCTTGGATGGTCCAGAGGAGCTACTCTCAGTGAAAACTGCTTTTCCAAAGAACAGATCACTGTTCTTAAGGCTCTGCCAGCACTCCCTACCTTTCTTCAGCCAAATAAATAAGAGAAAAAACATTTTCAATTATGAGTTTTGTTAGTGCAGCTCGACTAAAACAAGTTAAGAAGTGTTTCCTTTTGGCAGCTCTGCCATGAGAGTTCAGGGAGTGGTAAAAGTGTGGGTCCTGAAGAGGCACAGTTACGCTATGAAAAGGACATATATCTGCATTCTTACTCAAAATTAAGCTGGCTTTCCTACAGTTTAATTCAAGAAAGTAAATGGAATTAAGGCCACTTGAATAACAGTACTGATTCAGAGATTTAATGATGTTTAACTACGTTAATACCACCCATTTAATTAGCTCAGATTAATTATCCCAAGTGTTCCTGTGGAAGAAGGCCCAGTACAAGCTAGTTTGAACAAAGTGAATGAGGTTGCACGCACTCTTTATTTTCAACTCAGCTGTATTTGAACCAGTGTATTAAAAGTCAAAGTGAATTATTAGATCAGTAATTGATTTAATGCAACAGCCCTGGTCATGGAATAAACCTCCAAGTGTAGCCAAGAAAGCTACAAGAGATTCTAATTGAACCTGTCCACTATTATCTCATTTTCTCCTTTAAACTCCACATTTACAGTATTACTTTTACATGAACTATTGACCAGTGAAGAACACAAAGTTAATCCCAAACCATTCAAAGTGTACAGCATCTTGCTAATTCTGAGGACCTGACCAGTATGGTTGTTCTTCTAAATACATTTTAGCTTCTGCTTTGGAAGTTATTTCCCCCCATAAATATTCACACTGGCTGCTGACAATCTGTGTGGGAGTGTAAGTAGAGAAAGGGAAAGGTGAAAGAGCCAGAAGGGAAGAACACTACACTACTTACTCGCTAATATTGGCATGTGTGCACACAAGGAAGAAGAGAGAGCTAGTTCTTTGGCAGAGTCATGGGACCGTTTGATTACCTGGATAAGATGGTAAATCATGAAGGTTGCAATCCCAGCTCTTCTCCACTCAGGGTGAACTAACAGAAAAGAGATGTAAGCTTCATTGTACTTCACATCTGGCACCATAAAGCCGAAGGCAATGATAACTTTCTTGTAAAGGACAACAACACTGAAGTCTGGATACTGCAAGCATTCTGACAAATCTATTCCTACGGAGAAAGGGAGAAACAGCAGCTGAAAACATTGCAAACCACTTGTATGGAAATTCCAGGGTTTAAGGATTCTCAGAAACACTCACTTGATCCCTTCCTTTTTTACCTTTATTTCAAAGCTCTGATATAAAGAGATCACAGAATCATAGAATGGTTGGCATTGGAAGGGACCTCTGGAGATCATCTGGTCCAAAGCTCCTGCTAGAACAGTCCTCCACTACTAAAAATTATGCAGTCAAATTTCCTGCATTTTGGGAAATCACAGGGGTTGGGACACCTAGAGTGCAGGGGATAAAGCTTGCCTTGGGAAAACCAGCTGCCTGGTGTCTCCCCTGCTAGGTATGTAAGGTAAAAGGAGATGATTCAACAAAATAGAGACAAAATACGACCTGATTACTAGCAGTGAATCTTGCATGGAGAAAGTAACAAAGCTAATTTCCTTTCAAATGACTTAAGGATGAAACTAAAACTTAAAATTCGCTCTCTTTGGAGGCAGCACACATGAAACTGGGCTTCAACTCTGGTAGCATTACCTGACTGTGGTTCCTATCTCTTTTCTCCACCTTGCCTTGAGCTCCTACTGCTTCCTCTTGTACATACTCAGCTGCTTGTGGAGCTGCACTGTGATACCTGACCACAGCTTTCAAGGTTATCAAGACATCTGCTTTTAGCATGCAAATTCTCTAAGCTGGGGCATGAAGCAGCTTCTCAGGCAGTGGTGCTTCTGTGACTCAGAGGCTGGACACAAACACCCGAGGCTGGTGACTTCTGAGTGGAGTTTGTTACCTTGCCTAATCACACTGCTGCTGCAGTCCTAGAGCATCTACACAGCATGTTAGTGTCAAACACTGCAGTTCAAGACACTGAAGATGGACTGCTTGGTAATTTGAGTGGACAGACCCTAAACACGATGCAAGACATAGTGGAGATGTACCAAAAATAGTTTCAGCCTCAGGTTGGCAACTGCAAATATACTTGGAATGTGGGGTAACAAAATAGCAGAGTATGTTTTCCAGTAATCACTCTTGATGAGATGCAAGGCTTCAGAAGGTACAAGGCTTCACCAGGCACAAATAAGTGGGTGAATTATTGTCTTGCTTGATAGTAAGCTGGGTGGAGCAAGACGTGGGAGGAATTGATTGGCAATAGGGAGCTGTGTTAATTATCTCAAGGCTGCAATTGCCTGTGGAGTGCCTTACAGCGTGTCTGTACAGGAACGCTTTCTTGCCTTGAGCACTGGCGTCTATGAAATGGTGCTGTCTCCTCAGCACACAGTTATTCCTGTAGGAAAATGCTTAGCTCACGATGGTTTACCACTTGTCTGCTCGCGAGATGTTTCCCATTAGGGCATGAAGGCACAAGATACTGGGAGAGACAACATGGGGGAATCTTGCTTCGCAACAGCTCGTTTGTGGTTACTACCTGCAAACTTGTTTCTGCCTTGTGAGAAGCAAAAAGAGCTCTGACTTGAATGATTTGGAGGTGTAGAACTAAGGTCTGGGCTCATCCCACATGGTGAAATGCCTAGATTTTATGAATTCGGTGAATGAGAGCATCACTATTAGGCAACTTAGCACACCTGTCATTCACTGATGATCCCCAGAGCCCACATGCTCCAGAGGCCTAAACTTAAGCAGAATTATAGGTGTTTCTCTAAACAACAGTGCTAGTTTAATGAGGTTCACCCAGCTGCATATCCCCACCTGCCCCCCAGGTTGTACCAGCCCATTGGAAAGCTAAATCCTTTGCAACCACAAAGACACTGGGCTTTAGCTCCTGAAGCATCAACTCCTCACTTACCTCTCCTGCTAAAACAGAACCAGGGTGCAATGATCATATCCCAGCCTCAGAAATTTTTCACCATAGAAGAGATTTTGATTCCTGTTTGGAGACTGATGGGAGTGTCAGCTTTCTGATTTAATGATGAACAGTTCACAGTCACCCACACTCCTTATGTTAAATAAAACAGGGTGAGTCCTGAAGAACTTAATGAAGGTGCAACGCAACTTGGCCAGAACTTCGAATGCATTATCAGGAGAGGAGAGACTATGACAAAGAGGTTCAGCCTCTGTTGGGATTGCAAGTGTTTCTCATGAGCTCTGAAAGAGCTTGTGAAAAGAAAGGTGTCCAAGGCCCTGAATTGTACAATTTGGACAATGAGTAGCACAGAAAGCTCTGATCCTGACTGCAGTATATGAGCACTGCTGAACTACAAACCCTGCTGAATCACTATCTGCAAATCAAAACATAAAGCGAACAGTTACTTGGAATAAAGGTGTGACTGTTTGTACTGGGCCTTTCCAAATTAGTCTGCTGCACTGTCAAAAGCTGATCCATGCAGATGAACATCCCTATTATTATTTCAGAAGAACTAAAGACTGCAGCCTCATGACAGCCCCCATAAAGGGCAGCCACTGTCCCAAGAGAGCCTACAGTTCAAGAAATGACACAAAAATTCAAACCCAGTACATACTGAGGCTTGAAGAAATAAAGGACATCACAGTGGAGCCTGCAGTTGTAAATGCAATTCACAGAAGCACAGAATACCCTGAGTTGGAAGGGACCCACAAGGATCATCGAGTCCAACTCCTGTCCCTGCTCAGGATAACCCCAAGAGTCACACCATGTGCCTGAGAGTATTGTCCAAATTCTTCTTGAACTCTGTCAGGCTTGGTGCTGTGACCACTTCCCTGGGGAGCCTGTTCAGCACTCAACCACCCTCTGGGTGAAGAACCTTTTCCTAATATCCAACATAAATCTCCCCTGACTCAGCTTCGTGCCATTCCCTTGGGTCCTATCACTGGTCACCAGAGAGAAGAGATCAGTGACTGCCCCTCCGGCTTCCCCTTGTGAGAAAGCTGCAGACCATGATGAGGTCTCTCCTCAGTCTCCTCCAGGCTGAACAAACCAAGTGACCTCAGCTGCTCCTCATATGACTTCCCAACTTTCACTCCAACATATCCAGCTAATGGCTGCTAGGAAGAAACTTTCTCACAAAGCTAATGAACAGTAGAACTGTTTACTTCAGCCCGATTCTGAAAAATGTTTCACTGGGTGCTTAAATTTAGTTAACTTCCAAACTATTACACTACTTCTATTGGCACCTATTTCTGTAAGTGTTGTGCTAATTGGGGCCTAATTTCCCAGTTCTACATGATTTCAAGACACAAAGACACCAAACCCATGTCTCCATCTCAAATGCATTCCTGTGACATCAGATAACAGTTTTCTAAGAACTGAGCCAGACACCAACAGAAGAAAAATTTGGCCCAAGAATGTTTTTTTTCTGAATAAAACCACTTCCTTCTTAGAAAACCAAGCACTGAAGGAATCTTACCAGGCCAGAAGAATTCATGGCACATGGAGTTTATAGTGGGGATGTGATTAGGGCGAACATAGCAGTAATCAATGGGTGCTTCTGGCTCAGCCTTCCAGTTGAGATCATTCCTGTGTGGATATGCCTGGATTTCTGCCAGCAGCCTGAGTTTTGGGGGCTTTGTCTCATAATCACGCCTGTCAGGAACATGAAAAGCAAACACAAAAAGCGAGTGAGCAACAGTAACTGCCACTGCAGCTGAATGGGTACTGACCATGAAATATTTTCTGACATGCTCAATTTCAAAAAAAAGAGCAGTCTTCCACTCATGTGGGAAAACAACACCCAGCTCAGGAAAAACACCCACCCTTGGGTCAGAGGCCAGGACACTTCCCAGATCCACAGTATGCCCAGCCAGCCTGTCCTTACAGCAGGAGCAAGGAAATTATGGTTCTGACCCAAGAGCACATGCAACTTGGATTGAATGACTACAGCAATTCTCTCTCTGCCCCGCTCTCTCTTGTAGATTACCCTTCCCAATGCAATCAGTTTAACTACTCAGCTAAGTAAAACTATCCTTTTGGGGTTACCATAGGGTTACTGGGCTGCTCTTTGAGGAGGGGCAAGGAGCACTGCCCAGGAAAGATGTCCTCTCCGTGGGCTGTCGGTACACAAGCCAAGAGCAAACTCAACTCTGATCATCTGTACCTGATGTAAGGTTTCAGGACACGGGATGTATAAGGGCTAACAACACTGTGGTCTGTCAGCAGGTCTTCTGAGCCTACGAGTCGATACAGAAACTTTGTTGTCTGCTGTCGATATCCCTTCATGGTGGGTAGCATAGTCTATACATACAGAAAAATGCAGAACATTTCAGGAAGATTAGTCAATGATTTAACACAGGGGAATTATATCAATGGATGCAGAATAAGGGCCTTTCAATGTGACAGGATGGACTGGACCATGATGGTCCCAACTCTGTGGACTCTGCTGTGCACTCTTAGATTTAGTGCCCAAACCTATGAGCTGCCCTCATCACTCAGAAAAGCGCTGCAAGTTATCTCCCTCCTACGTACTTTGTAGAACATTCACCTGTTTAGGTACTTCCAGACCTCCATCATCAGCATTTGAGCAGGGCTGGAGTACAAATACATCAACATTTGTGGTGCTGACACTGATAGACTGTTGTGCTGTACAAGCATGTCTCAAGAAGAAAGGGGCTTAAGATAGCATCGGTGAGGACACAGCCCCAAGTCAAAATAAGTCTTGTTCATATAATCCTTTTTATTTTGGGAATCAGATAACCTCGATGTGACACTGCTGTCTGTAGCAAAAGCTTTAGAATAACCAGTGCCAAAAGCTCACTTAGATTTGGAAACACCCACCTGGTATCTATCCAAGATCCTGAAGTCCTGGCTAGTAGTTCTGTATGTTGCTTGCCCTGCTAGGGACCTGGAAACACCTCCTTCTTTGGCTCCATAAATCCCATCAACCAAGAGCAGTGCAGCATTCACAACTTGGTCCAAGTCAAAGAGTGGCAGTCCTCTTTCCCTCTTGGCCTGCCTGACTAACAGCTTGCGCCTCAGCCTCCGGGCCTCTGGGGTCATGCTCACAGCATTGGGACAGGCTTCAAGTCTCTTCAGCAGCAGCTTTTCCTCATAGATACTAACAGAGGTATGCTTGGGAGCTCTGGGTTTAGCATCCTTCTCCAGCTGTGGCTTTCTTTTGTCTCGACCCCTTACCTTCAACAATGTGTTTGACTCTTCAGGATCTTCACTGTCACCTTCCACCCGTTCTGTTTTTTCTTCTTCACTCTCCACCTCTTGCTTGATCTGTTCAGCTGTCTTCACTTTTTTTCTGCTTGCTATCAGAGTGCCAGCACTGGCTGTCCCACTGGGAGGGGGCACATACTCTATTCCTGGATCTATGACTCCATCTCCTTCCATTTCCTCATCATCTGTTGAGCAGATCAAAATAATCCAGGGAGAAAAAAAAATTTAAACATCAAAGCTCCATTTCAAAAAAGGTTGTCACAGGACTCTTCTGCTAAGGAAAAACAATGTGGTTTTACCCAACACACTTTGTTTTCTATATACTTCTGGATCTCCTGATTTTGGACAGGAGACACTGTGTAAAGAGTCCAATTTCAGGACACAGAATCAATCCTGTTCCTAAAGTGTCTTGTAGTTCAGCATCTGAAAACAAAGCCCTGTCCTGAGCTGCAAGCTCATGCTCTTGGACAAACGTTAAGTTGCTGAAAATTCCTGAAGACTGGAGATCAAATGGTCAAGCTGGAGAGCTGCATCTTCAGCTAGCATATCCTGGAGAAGTTCTGTTTCTCTACAGAACCTCACTATTTTTCCTGCCATCCAGAAGTGCTTTGGTCTGGCTCCTTAAGGAACTAACAGCATTCAGCCTGCATCGCCGCTTTGCAATCAGACCCAAATTCAGCATCTTTTAATCAAGATGCTCAAACTTATAAATCTACTGGGACATTGGCACGAGAATAAAATTTCTCCCATTAAAAACATTTGAGAGAAAACTAGAGTTGCTATCTAACAGTGTAATCTGTGTTGCAGTGAAATGCTTATCCTGAGTGGTGCAGCAGTTGCCATGTGAAATCTACCCACTATTTATTCAGGATCCCTCAGAAAACAATAATGGGGGTTTCTTCTGGCCTTAGAAGCTGGTAATACAACGATGGAAAACTAGTCAATTCTCACACTCAATTAAGACAAACAATATTACCAGTTACTTTCCATCTTATCTTGAAAAGATCCTGCAGTTCATTGGGAGTATCTTCCAAGAAAACTACATGTGGTTCATTACTAAACAAAAAACATGGTGCCTCTTACCGTGAAACAGAGCCTGTGGTGGCATGACATCTGGGATGAGATCTGCTTCCGAGAGAAGGCTGGGAGTAGCTGAATGTGAGGCTGGAGTGCCAGGAGCAGAAAAGTCCAGTGATGGGGAAGGAGAAGGGCTTGTCAGAGGTGTGCGATCTGATGAGCTCAAGGAGGAGAAGTCAATCACCTCTCCTTTCTCAAGGACGATATCAGGACGGCGGCAGCGACTGGTGAATTTAACAGGAGTGGAGGAAGTACTCCGGTCCAAGAAGCCGGCTGCCTCCTTCTGGGCTCTCCGAATATCCTTGGCTTCCTGAGTCCGAGATCTCTTCTCCTTCAGCTCCATGGCTGATTCAACTGGATTGCGGCTTACCCGCTTTCGGAGTCCTTCCACAGTAATGATGGGATCCAGGGGTGGCTTTGAAGCTGCTAAAAAAGTAGTTTGCTTATTCTAACAGACACTGAGCTCCTGCAGTCACCGGATACATACTACACATCCAGAAAAACACACTGACTACAAACCTTAAAAGATGTATTTTCAATACGTACAAGAAATTTGCTCTGGGATACGAAGCATTAAGCCAACACACAACTAAATCCTCATTAAAGCCCCAATCTTGTTCCTCTACACAAAGGAGAACTTGCATCTAGTGACAAAAGTCAAAAGACATTCCCCGCAGTAAAGAGAAGTAGAGAAATTCAGCTAAATTCAGGGGATTTCAGCTAAAAGAGAACAACACAAAACACTGCACAAACTTCAAAATCCTTTAAATCAGTTAGCACAATGCAAAAAGGTAATAAAATATAACAGGCTTCTCACACTACAGTATATACACTATAGTTCTCTTGAGTCAACCCTTACATCAGAACAAAACTAAGAATCTGTCCCTGCACACAAACACATGGTTTTAACTGGACTTTTCTCATGGCTTCCAGCTCTAGACCAGCTAGGAACCTACACACCATCAGGGACAGAGTTACCTTTTGCCTTTAGGGCAGATGCAGACAGCTTCTCTCCTTCAGGTTTCATTGTTGGGGGTTTGTTGTGAACCAGTTTCCACCATCCCGGTTCTCCAAATTCCTGTGCCCCTGAGCGGAAAAACAAGGGGCTCCCCACAGAGAGACAGCCAGCAACTGTGCTCCACCATGTTGAGGTCTTTTTCCTATGGTGGGAGAAAGGAAAACAAGTGTTAAGTCCTCGCTCGCCAGCTGTGCTTTCATCCTGGAGCCTCCTCCAAGACAGAAAGGGTAGAGCGCTTCTGCCACTGGCACTGATGCACATACACTGAACTACTCTAAAGCACATTTTTGGCCACTTGGAGGCAGGGAGCTGCATTTAAGCCTTTCACTCTGCTGGGCAGTGCACTCTACTGGGTATATGAGTACTTTTTGTTCCTTTAAGAGCTGGTTAACCAGTTAACCAGGGATAACTAGGATGTCACTTGGGGAAGAAGTGAGAAGAATTATTAAAGAATTGCCCCTGTAGCCAATAACTGAAGTACTCTCCTGGACACTGGAGAATCTGGTTCATGGTGCACAGCCTAAACTCATAGTTGCACAGGATCTCAGGATTCCTTCTTGCCTTTGCACACCTCCACTGGCAAAAACTTCCATACTCAGGCAAGGATTGGCTGAGCAGGTATTTGCTGCTGTCCAAGTGTTGCACTTGCACACCTTGGGGTACTCAACCTCATAGGTGGGAGATTAAACTCAGGTGCCCCAGAGCAAAGTCTAGAGTGTTACAGTAAATTTGGATAAGCTGTACTTTAATATGCCAAGGAAGAGAAGCATTGCGTGCCTTGAACTGCTACACATCCGATGCAGCTGTCTATGTTCCACCAGTGGCTTGTCCAGGCAAGCGGGGAAACTGTGTCTGAGGCCAGTTATCACTCGTTTGAATTTTAATCAGAGCAAGGAGTGCCCAGTTCCCAGGGCAAGTCTCAAAAGGGAACAGCAAACCCTGGGAGGCAGTGGCTCCCTTAATGAGGGACAATGGGCCATCAGCCTGTCAGGGTCCCTGTGATTACCAGAGAGGACAAATGCTCATATTTCTGAGAACAAAGCAAGGAGGCACAGACAAGCAATGAAAGCAAAGCCAAAGAGTAAATTTGGTTAGGGAGAAAGGCCAGATCTTTACAACAGAGAAATCCCTGCTTAAGAAAAGAAGCTATGAAGTCAATCAAATCTACAACTTGGAAGGCTTGCTCAGTTCCTTTCCTGGCTTCATAGCACATGCATTAACAGTGACACTTAGGTTTGACAGCTTCAGCATGCTCAGAAAAAAATGTGCCGTTCACCCATACAGCCAAGACTGTCCTTTACAAGAGGGGTTCCTACTCTGACAGCTTCTTTACACACAGTCAAAAACGTTTCGTTGGTTTGTAACACCTTCTATGTAAAAGCCAAGATCCAAAAGTATTAAGATCCAAAACAATCTAAAAGGTGAAGCTCAGTTCTTCTTGAAGAATTTGGTCCTTGCAAGCCTTATAGCCAAGTAATGTGGTACTTTGCTGGACCACAGTTTTGTCCTTGAAGCCTTGTAATACCAGGACTAGCCCATCCATTGTGACTATTTAGAAAAACTCAAAGGCTTTGCAGGTTCACATGCTACCTAAAGGAAGATAAGAAATAATTCAAAATACATGCATTTGTATTGTTTTTGTGTGACATTCTTGGGGCTGGTTTTCCCCAGTAAGAAATGTTTATTTTTTCTCAAGAGTACCCCTCATGCCTATATTCAGATTCTCAATATTAAATGCTCCAACTTTCTCACTAGTGAAGCTCAACAGAGATGTTGCCAAATTAACCAGGTTCTTGTCCATTTGTATAACAAACTCCTTTGGCTCGCCTACCAGACCTTCAGGCAAACATCACGTCTTTACCTGTTCCCTAATAGGAAAGTCCAGTGTTTCTCAATAAAAGCACAAATATCTTCTTTCCATCTGAAGTACCCCTGACGGCCCGTTCCTTCCAGAGACAAATTGTACATTGCCAACATGACGACCTGGAACAGAAGGTGTTGAATACAAGTGAATCTTTTCAGCTTTCTCTGCTGAACTATCCCCCACAGCTGCCACACACGCAGATCTGTGCTCCCTCATAAATATCTTATTTTTGCAACATCTCATAGGCAACTTCTGCAATCCATCTTCTTCTTGGTTTCATGCTGCCCGTTCCTGTCTTTCTCTTGTTAGACGCACATTTGCCTAGAGATTTCTCCATCCCAGAGGAATAACAAGCTGCCTCGTTATGCAGGTTTATGCTGAGACACAAAAATTTTGCAGCTGTTGTATAAATAAATTACAGTACAACTGTGGTCTGAAAGTAGTGTAGGGAAACAGTCTTTCAAAAAAAAAAAGAGGTCACAAGTAATCCTACTATCTAATCAATCAGAGATATAATGATCTAATCCATCAGACAGTGGTCTTTCTAGACACTTATTTTCCAAACTGAACAGACTGTAAATGCTCTGTAAAATTAAAGATCTCCTAATTGTTCCAGGTATGCAAGAATCAGGTTTGTCTACAGGTGATCTTCATTAAATAGAAACTGTTTACGCACACTTCACAACCAAATTCATTCTGACCTGTTACATACCTAAACTAAAGGGCAGGTGTGAAAACTATTGCACCTCTTTTAAGTAAATCTCAGGTGACCAACTGTTAATTACATTTACTTAATTCATTTGAATACAACTAAAATCAGCTGGGCTGGGATCATCTTTCAACAACCACAAAGTTTGGTACTACTTCCAACAAGGACTTATACTTCACCCTCAGAGGAGTCTGAAATGTGTTTTTTTAGGCAGATTGGTCTCTTCACAGTGGACCTTAGCTTTCTGGGATGCACTGCTGAACACATCAAAATGAGGAAATATGGACAGCTTTCATGTCCCCTGCCTCACAATCCCTCTTAGTTTGGTAACTGTTTAGGATTTTGTGGTTCTTTAAATCATGTGGGACAGTCTCAGAACTTCAAAAACAATTCTCTTTTCAACTGGCTAAAGATAAGGATCTGTTGAGGCCACATACTCTGAAAAAAAATACAGAAATCACTGTCCCCATTTTTTTCCTGTTTCAGATGAGTTAATTTGACCCCTTCCCTCAATTCAGCTTATCAAGAAGAAGCAGCAGGTCTGGCTGCTGGAAGCCTAGGGAGGTAGTCATTAGTCAGCTTTCTTCCTCACCCATTTTGATTTTGTCTGCCCCTTCCCCATGCCACTCTGAAGAGACTTGAGCATAATGCTAGAAGCCTTTCCTGTCCAAATTAGAAGTTTGCTGAACCTCTGCTGGTCTGCCAGCCACAGACCGCTACACCAATCTTTTCCCCTGCACTGGCCACCACGAGAAAGCAGTGTAGGAGTTATAACTGATGTTTTAAATTATCTTTTATGGGACAACACACTGCTACTGTCCTAAAGGATGCAAACAGATGTCTTGCACATACTGCCCGATGTGGAAACACTGCTGAGCAACAGCTACTGCCTGATCAAATGCATTTTCAGCAGAGGCAGCCAGCACTGCCTGCCTGTCCCTTGAGTGCCCTGCACATGATGTGCATCAGTCTAGTACCTGGTCATTGCTGTATAATGCAGATTATTTTGATTGCTCAGGTATGCAAGTCACTGTAATAGTGAATTACACCAAGGACTCTTGTTAGTGCATAAGCAGCCAGGCTGGAGCTTTGTATTCAGGGAGCTGGCAAACTTTTTGTTTCTATGTTGCCACTTCAGTCATTTTACATTTTCTTATATACAAAAAACCTGCTCATGCCTGGCAGCTAAAATCTGCCTGAAGCCATGAATTCATGAGCAACATAAGGAGAAAAAAAAAAAAAAAGAAAAAGTAAGGAGAGCTGTTTGTATTATTATCTTTCAATTTACCTTCCAAATGCTCAAGTTCTCATATGCAGGCAATCCTTAGCTAATTAATTTCTGAAGTTCATGCATATGCTTCTTTCTTACTGATACTGATCCTCCTTTTCTGTGTAGTACATACACAACAAACAATTTTAGAAGTCCTACGGTTGTTCTGCTGGCACAAACATTTTACTTACCTGTTGCCACGTTAATCTCAGACGTTCAAATTGCTCCTTCCCATCTTCTGAGCAATCAGAGCAAGTAAATCTGAAAAAGTTGTCTCCTTTCAGGTAGCTGAGCTGTTCTCTCAGTTGACCTAAAATGAAAAAGCAAAAATCAATTTCTTTGTCCTTTTATAAAAAAAATGTGCTGCAAGGGAAATTTGGATTTCCTCCAATATCAGGCAGAAAAGTACTTTTTTTCCCTTCTCCCCAGAGTTCAAAGACCCAGGCAGATCCGAGGAAGCAATGGACCTTGCTGTCATGGAAGGCATAGATTCATTTCACTGTTGCAGCAGCCAGTAGTGACCAACTGAAAAGCACAGGTATCAAAAAAGGGTATTCTACATAACATCTGAATGTAGGTACAAAGCCAAGGATTTCCTTGATTCTGCAGCATTTCTCATTCCTCCTTGCTTCCCCTAGATAACCTATAGACTTCAATACATAACTGTTTTCCCACCCTACTCAGAAAAAAAAAAACAAACTGATCTGTTAAAAAAGGTTATCAGTATATATATTTGTTCTCTTCCATGTCATCTTTCCACTCACTGCTATGTGCTTTTACAGCTCTCTGTTCCCTGATACTGAAGTCAGATTGCCAGTCCCTGTTTCCAGCAGCCTCCAGGATGCACTGCAGTGGACACGGAGTGAAGCTTTAACGTGTTTATTTCTCCTATCAGGAGAAATTGAGACTGAGAGCCAAAAGAACAGCCCAGCACTATCAAGAAACACTTTTTCTTTGTGCAGTTGATGTATCAGATCCCAAATCAGCAAAGTACTTCAGCATACACTTTGCTCCTTAAAGCTAACCCTGCATAAAAGTTTGTCTGAACAAAAGCAATAGAGCCACCTGTAAAACCCCACACATTCAAAATGACAGGCTCTAACTCTATGTTTCTTCAGAAGAGAAAAAAGAATAGATTTAACACATGAATCAAGGTTTCCAAACTCACCCAGAGTTAATTTACAAAAGTATAAAAATTGAAAAATGACATCACAGGACAGGGAAACAATTAAAGACTACAGTGTTTCTGGAAACTTGCATACAAAAGGTATTTCACTGCAAGTATGTCATCTCTTTACTGTATAACACCACCAGATCAAGCATTTTTAATGTATGGATGCTGTACTTCCATAGTGAATTGCAGAATTTAACTACCCACACTTCGTAGATTAACAGAATTTCTAAATGGCAATTTAATGTAAAGAAGTGATTATTTGTGTGAGCATATTGGCAATTTCACAAGTGACAAGTGAACTCCATATAACTGAGCCATTAGGGAGAGTACAGTTTTTCCCTTTTACATTTATGTTGCACATTTGTATCTAGTTACTGTTGCTTTGCAATTGGCTTTTTTTGCTCTTTGGATTTGTTCCAGAGCAACTGGAGAGAGGAACATCTTTGTAAAATAAAACAGTGTTAAATCAAGCACTCCAGTGTAATTCATGCTACCTTTAACTCTGCTCCTTTTATTATTACATTTAAAGTTAATATTTCCCTTTACTGCACAGTAACTTAATAGTACAGTGCTGGTTCCATTACGTTAACATCTCAATACTAACATGCCTTGAGAGATTTCTAAGCTGTAACTTTTGGCAAATTCTAAGAAGGCAAAAAGGGCAGCTCTGACATATCTGGAAGGCAGTTGCCACCTGAAGAGTTTACTATTTCTCTTCACAAACAAACAAAAACCCAAAAAAACCCCAAATCAAACCAAACAAAAAACCTCACACCAAAACCAAAAAAACAATCAGTGCTTAGCAATATCTGGCTTTTGGATCTAATAATAGATCAGATAACCCAGAATTTAATAAGTAAAGTCATCTGTTATGCTGCTAACAGCATATATCTTAAGTCAAGCGCCAGAGCAGAGGGATTGAGTTCTGCAGCTTGCTCCAAACACCTTCCAGAGCTGGCTGCTGCAGGCTGGACATGTTTCTGTGAAAACCAACTCAAATTCACATTAATGGGAAAACCATTAAGGTTAAGATTTAGGCATTTACTCCACAGATGTGACAAATCAACAGGAAAAAATAAAAAAACAACACCATCACAAAGTCCTTTTCTTCCACAGAGCTTTACAGCAAGGGTCATTATTTTTATCTGATAGAGCAGAGAGGCCAATTTGCTTGGCTAAAGTTCCCTAAACAGCTGCAAAACTTGGGAGGATGTTCGTGTTTTTGAAGTCATACCCTTGTTCTCTGCTAATTAAAGAAGACAGTCCCACTTCCTTACAGAGAATGCCAGCTTTGGACATACACAGAGCTCATGGATCAAAGTATCTAACACACACCACTGCCATTGGGCTGCAGGGCTCCATGCAATGCCAAGCCCTTCTCCAACACATGACAGGATACAGCTAAACAAGGGCTGCCCCGTAAAACAGGTATGCAGGACAGCACAAACAGCTTGCAAACAACCACCACAGGAATGCAAGTGAGGCACAACACAACTGGCAGGCACAACACAACGGGCAGGCTTACTTGCTGGGATCCACTTCTGGCACTTCTCGCAGTAATAGGACATCTCCTCCATCCAGGATGCTTCACCTTCATCACTGTTTAGAGAGTCCCCACTCTGGTCATGTGATAAATCCACTGAAGCCTGGTCCTCAGACTCGACAATCAGGAGAGTCTCCCCTTCTACCTCACCCTCCTCCAGGCCCTCTGAGGTGGAGGTCCTGGTGGCTTCATCATCGTGGCGACTGAGCAGCCCACTCATGTGAACACTATTAGCCATCCTAGATCGTGTTTGCAATAATGAGCTATTCCTCCTCACATTGACCAGTCACACTGGATGTGCCAACCAAGTCTCCAGAGTATGACAGAGGAAATGTTTTTTGTCCACCCTATAGTTTTAGGGAGTAGATTATAACCTGTACAAAATAAACAGTCTTTCACAGATTATCTCTGTTAGTTAAAAAATTTGCAAGTAGTTAGATATGAATGATCTCCAAACGTTTTTAATCAAGCCTCTAAGGACCCAGGCCTGTGCCTAGGACTTCTGGGAACCTTTTTGCATTAGCGCCTTGTCTCTTTCTTCAATAAGCTGCTTTGTCAAAGCAATCTGCTCTTCTAACAGGCGAATATTCTCCTTTTTCTGATTTTGACGCTCAAGATCTCTGAGAACTCCACTTCGCAGCCTCTGAAAACACAAGATTCAGGATTTATCACAGCTCTGTGATGCTGAATGTGATTAACCCCCACCCAGGCTCGAATCCCTCCTGCAGGGCTGTTCACCACGCTGCCTTTGCCACAGCCACTTAATGTGGTTTGAATCTTCAGGAGCTGATATCAATAAGCCAACAGCACTACACCAAAAAATGCTTTATTTGCACTCGCTTCAGATGGGTGGTTTTACTAAATGGTAAAGTTATTGAGCAAGTAAATGCTATGCACCTGTAATTCCCATGCCATGCAGGATGGACGTCATCTATAACACCTTGTTATCTCTGCCCTAAATCTTTACCAAATTGGAATAATATCCTCAAAACTTCTCTTCTTGGAGAGAATTTTGTGACAAATTGGAAATTATTTTGAGAAAAACTGCCATGTGTCTTCACCTGCCTCATTCTGCTCATGTCTTAATCTTAAAAAATACCCACAGCCTCCTTGTGCCAAGTTCTTGAAAAAGCAAGGCACTTCATCAAAAAATATCCCCTTTACCTAAAATTTTCATTATAAATCATATAAATACATAACATATATATATAAATAAATATAAATACATAACATGTGCAACACACACCAGCAGCTTGTAAGCCCCCCAAAGGGTGTAAAAAGCCCTAAGAAAATCCCAGCTGCTCTTTGTTTCCTGCATATGCTTCTCTCTCTCTCTGCTACCTGGACATTTTTATTCACATCAATACTTTGATAATTAGGTGAAATGTTTGACCTTTGTATCTCACCGGGGGAATGTTAAATAAGTGAAACCAAAACTGGTGAGATGGATTGGAGTGTGGTAAAGGACAGGAGGGACTAGCTGGGAACTGGCTGCACTACTCCAGATATGCACCTCTGGGGACAGGTGAGGCAGCAGAGCAATGTGATGAGATCAGACATAGGATGGGTGGCACTATGAAAGGAAACAAGGAACCCGTGAAGTGTTTAATCGGTTGTGCAGAAGACATAAAGCTGAGATACAGTTCCCCAGCAACTTCAGCTGAGCACAGGAACTGCTGCTGCCATCCTTCCAGCCCCATGCTCCCAACACTGCTGTCCCACCCCAGGGCCAGACATCAGAAAATAATGCTCTGCCCAGTCTACTTTGGTGGTTTGGCTTAAACTCCTCGGGCAGGCAATGTGGTTTCACATATTCAGACACTTAATAGATTTCAAAGCAATAGCTATAAACTTGTCAGAAAATAAGATACACAGGGATAGAAATATTATAAATCAGTAAAAACATGAAATGATTGTTGAGAGCCAGCCCTGGCTCACATCTAAATCATGCTGTGTGATCACAGTCATGCTTAGCACAATTAAAGATTCAATCTTTAGCTGAAGCTTAAAGCATTATCTACCTGCCTAATTTACCAATTCATGTGCAGCTTGGACTCAGGAATGAGAAAGTTTCCACAGGTATCAAGGTTAGCCACTGGACACTAGAGATACGAATAAATTATTTAGCCTAATGGCAAAAAAAGATTAATAATTTATTCAATCCATTTGAATGATGCCAAAATGCACCTGCAAATAATTTATTTGAAAGCTGACCCTGAAGTTACTTTAGATGTCTGTGATTATTATTTGACATATTCTCACAGAGTTTTATTCCTCATCTAGCATGCCAATAACTGCACATTTCAAAGGGAATTATTTTTCCTGTTAAGATCAAAATAGAAAGGCTTTGTTTAAGAAGTAATTTTACCTTGTTAAGAAAATGCACAGACGCATACGTCAGCCAATAACCAAAACTCCAGAAATTAATCTAATAAAACTAGTTCCTTCCCATCAGCTTCTATCAGCTACACTCAGGTTATAAATCAGTAATTGCTGAAGACAAAGTTCATCAACTTATTATCACATTACTATTAGTTAATAACAATAAAGAAGTGGGGAGATACAATGTAATTGAACAATTACACCAAGAATGTAATCTTTTTGCCTTCACAAAACACAGCTATTCTGCAATCTTTGAGATGGTGAATGCATTTACTTTGAAAATGCACAGTTTGCAAAAGACATCTGTATAATTTGAGTATCACAAGTGACAAAGAGCTGTGAAAAAGTTAATCTTCTCACCTTCCTCTATTCTTGGAAGTTAGCACTGCTTGCCTTCTGCATCAGCTTGCACATGCAAGCTCAAATCACTTTGGGCCTGGCACAGCAATTTATAAAAGTCAAAAGTTTATTAATCTGCATAAAGATAAATCTGAAATAATCCCCACACCAGGACTGTAAAATATCCACATTATTTATTTGTTTTATATTATCTAAATAACTGGATCTCTAAAACATGGAGCTCTTATTGTCTGACTTGACCACAAAGAATTATAAAAAGAAAATCTGAGATTTCATTTATAAAAGATAAGCTTTGAGTCTTGGTGCTTCTGAATAGCAATTTAAAATTAAGTTAAACTGATGGCTGTGGAAAAAAAAAAGAATTGAGTATTCTGGATTCACTTCTGCAGCAGCAGCATAATAAGGGATGTTAATATCCTGCAAACATATACAGTTTACCACCATATTCAGCTTTTCGAGACATCACTTCAAATTTTAGATAAATGGTTTGTGAACCCATCCTCATTTGTACAGGCCAGGCACTTCTGAAGTCATGAGTTCTCTACATAGAGTTCAGGGTTGTGAAGTCTATGGGCTTGCCCATGCCTGGGTGTATGGAAGAATGGCAAAGAATAGACACTGGATCTGTCGTCCAAAACCTCCAAAATGTTTTGTCACTGACCAACTCGATCTTTTGGCCCCTCCATCTCTAGGACACTCAGCAAACCTGCCTATCTGCCAGCAGCCTGGAAGCAATGACACTGATACCCTGCACAGAAATGGCTGCTTCCAGATCTGGAAAAATAAGTTAAACCAGACCTATGGGGAGAAAGCTGCCCACCTGTCTGGGAAGCAGAGGATCTCTCCAGGTAGAAGCTTGCAGCAGCCACCACAATTGTAACAACCACAGCAATTCAGTCTGTTGCCCGAGGTGTTACTTACTGCATGACACATAGATCCTGGCCTGACGGTGGTATTACCTGTAGATTGTTATGTTATCTCTACAGAATAGGAACATTTTGTAAACCTTCATTTATTTTCACAGTCTCTCTATGAGATGAAGGAGAGATATTAGCCAAGGATTAAGGTCAAAACATCCATTAAGTTTGGGTTTCTCACTGAAATACACAAAGGTTATGTTCATCAGAGCATGTGTTGTCCTGCAGCACTGCTCAAAGTACAGCTCTGATTAATTTCAGCTGTAGTTTAGTTTATGAGTATTTAGCACATATTCCTGTCAGATCCTCAGTGGCTCAAGGCAGGTACACTGAATTAGAGAGCAACAACCTACAAAAATGGGACCTTTAGTGATCTACCCAACATATATGTCAGCTCTGGCAAATGTAAAGCCATTACTGGTTGCCACTCCAAGAGACCAGCCTTCCTCTCCTTGGTACTGCCTGTGTCATTCAGTGTGTTGTCCAACTCCTGCACAAATAAAATTGCCTCTTTCCTTACCCAGACCAGTCTCATCCTCTAAGATCCACCGTTCTCAAGCACTGACAGAGACCTCTTGAGGGGAAAAAATATAACGCTGTAATTACAGACTGCATTGTAAAGCCCACACAACAGCCAGCTGAGCTTGGCTATGGACTAGGAACTTCAAGTCCGGTGTTCTGTAACTTCTGTTTCAGTGTCATTTAACATGGGCTGGTTTTGTGTGCATTTTCTAGATTTTTTGGTAAATAAGGGAGGGAAAATCATATAGGTGCCCTCATTCCAGTACTTTCTTGGCTCATCAGCAGGGTCCAAACCAGCACACTCACTGCCCAAACATCTGTCGCATGCAATACATTCATTACACAATTGTACAACTTTTAGTCCTGGGCAGGACTTCTCTGTACTGGGACTCACCATCATCAGACCTGACGCTTTTGGCTGTGGGCTCTCACACACAGGGTGCCTGTCAGGAATTACCTGATCTTTGTAAATGTAGCACCGAAAACTTCCCTGTTTAATTACCACGTGGTGTTTCTGACAGCTTGCACTCTGCCTGTCCTGTCAGAACAAGAAGGGAGCCAGGCCAGGCTGCATGGCACAGAACAGCCCTTTATCAGGATGCATTTGAGGAGTTGAGGAAAAGCAGAGCACATGCACTGCCAGAGGAACAAGCACCAGAGGGACAGCACGCCAGACAGGGAAGCGTCCTAGAAACACTGCCAGGGTGGTGGCCTTGGGCCTAGAGGGTGCAGGATTACATCCTTCCTGCATGCTGGCTGCTGGAGAGGGAGGGAAGTGCCTCCACCGAGCCTGTCATACCTCACACTGGGGCTCCTTGCTATTAGCCCCTGAAGGGAAATGCACAGGATGAGATTAGGGAGCTGGTGCAGCTAAAAGAGCATGCAAAGGGCAGATGCCAAGGCAGGAAAACATGGAGAAGAGGTAGTTCGTGGAAAGAGAAACACAGGGGGCAGCGCAGGGGAGGTAGCACTGGTGGGGCACTGCAGTGCAGGTGCAGCTCTGGCCCCTGGGCGCCAGGCTGGGCACACCGAGTGCCTGCAGCCCCGTGTGGGGCACTGAAGGTGGCACGACGCTGGGGCATTGGCTCCCCACCGGGCGCAAGAGGCCTGGGCTGCCCTCGAGTGAGGCAGGGCACTACAGGGATGGATGGATGCATAGATGGATGGATGGACAGATAAAGAGATAGATTGATAGATGGAGGGATGGATGGATGGATGGATGGATGGATGAAGGGAGGGAGGGAGGGAGGGAGGGAGGGAGGGATGGATGGAGGGATGGATGGAGGGATGGAGGCAGGCTGCAGCAGGGACACGTGGAGCTGAGGCTGTGGGCCCACGGCGGGCACCGAGCAGGGTAGGGCGGAATGGGGCGGGGGCGGCGCTTGGCCGTCGGGGGACAGGTCAGGCCCGGGCGAGGGGGCGGGGCGAGGGGGCGGGGCCGCCGTGGGGGCGGGCAGGGCCCTGCTCGCCCCCTCCCCCTCGCGCCCTGCGACGCGCACTCACCTCCAGCTCCCGGCGCTGCTGGACGTGCACGGCCACCACGATGGCGGCGGAGAGCAGCGCGGAGGTGGCCAGCGCCAGCCAGGAGCTCCGCGACATCGCCGCGGGGCGGGCGGCGCGGGGGCAGCGCCGGGCGGGCAGGGGTGCGGGATAGGCGAGGAGGCACGCCCCGCCCCCGGCCGAGCGCCGAGCTCCTCGAGCCAGGCCCGAGCAACTGAGCGCCGATGCGGGGCGGGGCTGAGCACAGAGAGGGGGATTCGGGAGCGGCCGCTGCCGGCTGTCGGCACGGCACGGGGAGCGGAGCCGGGGCTCTTCGGGGCCGCGGGAGGCTTGTCGCCCTGCCGAGGCTGGGCACTTGCACTTCTGGCTAAAAACTCTGACCTGGGGTGCTAAAGACGGGCCTTTGTTTCATCAACGCCCCTACTGGGGAGACGGTGCCCGACTGTGCTCGGCCGTGCCCGGCTGTGCCCGTGCCTCCCGGTGCCTTGCCGGAGGGGCTGTTGGCTGGAGCTTCCTGCCGGCGTTCACTTGCATTTCCAGTGCGGTCGCAGCTCTAAAACAAAAGAAAGGAGGTTTCTTCTGAATACAAGAAAGATTTTTGGTTTTACTGTGTGAAGTAAAACAGTTCTGCACGCACTTTGCTCAGAAAACCCGAATTGCATAAGACAAGCATCTGGAGAAAGACGCTCTTCAGTTGTTTGGTTTCTTCTCATTGTTCAGTGTGTGGCTCTAAAGCCCCATGTTTGGCACTTTTTCATGCTCCGAAGACAGAATTATTCCTCTCCCTGGGGGCTTTTCCCTGGCACCTCCTCACTGGAGTGTGTGAGGGCTTCACAGACAGAGAAAAAGTTATATTTCCAGTGCTCCTGTGTGAGAACAACAGATGGCTGTCATGAATGATACTGATCCACCATGTTCAGAGGTGATCCAGGCCTCAACTAGAAGACTTCAGCCTTTCAGGGCACTTTTGCCCCATAACACTTAAAAGCAAACTTCTCCCTGGCTTCTGTGGAGCAGACAGATGCTCAGCCGTACATCGGAGAACCTGTCAGCACTCACTATCTGCTGCCTTGCCACTCAAATGAGCATAGCAGAGGTGCACAAGAGTGACTTAGGAATGTATCAAACAAAAGGATGCCTGGTGGGGAGGGGGGATATACCACGAGGTCTCTAAAACCCTGATAGAAGTCAGGGAACAACCATTCACTGTTTCCCACAGCCAGTGGGTAACAAGCTTAAACCAAGCAGAAAAACGGTTGCACCATGTGGGACTAAGTTGTGGAATTCATTGCCCTTGTACTCCAGAAATTGAACCTACCTATAAATTCAGAAAGGAACTGTACAAATTCCTGGAGCACCCTTGATGTCTGGATGCTGTTTTTGTCTCACAAGCTCCTTAAACCACAAATGAACGAGAATGTGGGAGGTTTGTTGTGAAAGATGTAGGCTTATTCCTGACTCCTTCCTGTGCTTTTTTTCTCCAAGCATCTGCCACAGCTCACTGCCAGGCAGTATGGTGGGGCACAAGGAATCTCAACCTCAGCAGGTGCCTGAGCTTTTCCATGGTAGGTCAGGTGTTCCTGCTCTTCTCCCTTCCTCCCAATGGCTGGGCCTTGTTGAAGGGCTTGCCTTCCCTGCCATGGCCCTGCTCTTCTGTTTTGGGGGGTTACCCCCTTTCCATGCTTAAGGTGAGCTCGTTCAGGGAGGGAACCTTTTCCAAACCCAGCCATGGACCAGATGGTCTGGTTCAAAACCCTGCAGTAGCAACAGTGTGGAAAAGCCCATTTTCCTTTTTCTGAGACACTTTTCCAGCTGGGTTGGGTAAGCCCACCAGAGGCACACTGCAGAGGCATAAAAGTGGGGGTGGTGGAGGAGAGAGGGCAGGAGTGCCCAGTGGTGACACCAACTGTTTTAGGTGGTGGTTGGGAGAAGGACAAGAGAGAAGATATCAGAGTTACCCCAATGAACACAAGCTTGGTGACCCTTGACCTGTTGCAGAGATGTCTCGTGGGGCTGATGGGGTGTGTGTGAGTGGCAAAGCCTAAAGGAGACTCTGAAAAGCTGAAGGCCATTTTTCCCCCGGGCAAAGAGCTCAGATCTATATAGTGGTCTTGGATAACATATCTTCAGTCCATCCTTAGGGGGTATTTTTTCCTGGATTTCAAAGAAGATTAAGCTTGTGCAGCCTTTGTGCCTCATCCACCCCCTCCCTTGCCTCTGTGCTCTTACACAGGCATTTGCCACCCTCCTTGATAAGGCTGCATTGCAGGCCCCATCTCATTAAGACTTCCATGTTTATTTCTCCATTCCAACCATTTTGATGATGTGGAGGAGTTCAGGCTAAGCTTTGTGTAATGGATGGTTATGCTGAGCAGTGTAATATCCCATGAAGGGAAGGGGTGGCAGTGTCAGCTCAACCCTATTAGCCACCAGAGAATCCAGAAAACAGTTTGCTCAGTTGTGGCTTGCCTTAGCGACAAAAAAAAAAAAAAAAAAAAAAAAAAGGAAAAAGCCTAAGGAAAAGCCTGCAAGATATTGCAGAGGAGGAGGACAATGTTTGAACAGACCCTATTTTCAGGTTCATGTCCTGAACCACAGCCCCCTCCTGCTCCATTTCTCCCATGGAATATGAGGAACCACTCTCACTTATCAAACTGCAAACAAAAATAATCCTAATGGTATGTTTTCACAAAGCTTCCCTCTTCGCAGAGGCAGCTCTCCCTCCCTCCTGGGTGGGCATGTACATGAAGGCATGTGTGCTCACACAGTAGACTTTGCATGCACCTGGAGCACTCCACCAGGACACAGTGGCTCAGCTACCCTAGTGGCAAAGAAGACAAAAAAACTAAACCCAAATTCAACCTAAACCAAGTTTTCATTTTCTCTGTGAAGCCATGTGTGGCTGACGAGTGCAGGTATGCATGCAGGTGCCTGCACAACAGTCTGCAAGGTCTCCAGATAGATACAGAGCTCAGCACTCAGGATAATCTACCAAAGAGAGGAGCACACTGTGCCTGCTCTTATTAGCATTGATTTTCTCCCTATGGCAGCGCTAATAATAGCAGCAAAAATATAGAATTGCTATGATGTAGAGACACTTTTATCTCACTGTGATGTCTTTTTCACTTTGAGAAAAAGAATTATTCCTGTCCCCCCACAACAGTGACAGACCTGGTTATGACAGTGTAGGCATCTGTTGTCCAGGTGCAGCTGCTCTGGCCCTGCAGTAAATGTTTCTATTGGATTTGCTTGGGGGGGTCATGTTGTTGGTATTGAAAAATGCATTATGCAGAGGAAAAAACTGTAATGTAGTAATTTTTGTGTCCCTCCTCTGTAATTCAGAGGCATGGTCACTGGGGACTTCTCTGTGCACAGAAACTAAAAAAAATAGTTTAAATTAATGAAATGTATGTATTAAAAATGCCTTATTGTGACCAGGTTAGCCTCCTCTCTAGGCAGGTGGAGGTATGGCTGGCTTGGGCAAGTTTTATTTTCTGTTGGGCATGAATGAAGTGAAAGCCATCCAAACTCATCCCCTCAGCACTTGTATGGAAGCCTCACCAGCCTCTGATGTGTTCTTACCAGCAATCTGGATGAATTTTGTTGCTTCTCCCATGCAGACAAGCCCCAGGGCTCTGATAGTTCTTCCCAGGGAGCTGGAAGGAAGCAAGTTTGATTGTCCTGAGGTTTAATGATGGAGGATTGCACGATTATGAGCAAGATTACGAGGAAGGAAGCATTAAAACTTTACTTCCATTTGCAGAGCAGCCTGAAAAACAGTTACTTTTGATTTTAAATTCCCCATGCACTTCCTCCTTCCAGTGGTGAGGGCAGAAACCTGGGGCAGCCACTCATGGAGTCTTACTGATTTTTATAGTCAGTTATGTTAGTTACATGTTAGCCAGCCAGCCCTGGGGACACCAGTGGGTTGTCTCCAGGTAAATAAACTAAGGTGTGGGCTCGGCTGCCACTGCCGCCACCTCATATTGCCCTGGCTGCAGGGTGGCGAGGCCCTCATGGCCCCAGATGCCCCGCACCACCAGGATAGGGGAAGGGGGGAGAGCAGTTTGGATGGTGGCTCCCTGCCACATCTCTCCCTGCTTTCCCCATAGCACAGCTTGTCTGCGCCCTTCATTTTGGGACACTGCGGAGGGTACCCAACTCAGGGAATGCACCCCGGCTCCCTCCTGTGTGTGCTTCCCCTGAGAGAGGAGGGGCAGTTGAAATGCAGGTGGAGGCCAAAGTCTGTCTGCTCAGCAGCAGAGAGAGGATGTAAACCCAGCACTTTATAATTATATTGGTGGCAATTGCACAGACCCTTGCCCATGGATGGCAGGAGGCAGGTGTTTTAGCAGTGCCATTGGGAATTGAGGGCAGAGATGCTTACAGGCATGGGGTTGGGTTTTTTTTTCCTGGAAATCATCGTAAAAGGCACTGGGAGATAAAAACCCTTATAGAACCCCAAAGCATTGGCAGAGTAATTCTGCAGTCACCCTCAGCTTGCATGGCAAAGGTAACCCCGCCTCAGCAGTAGGGCCACTATTAGGCAGGGAGGTATGGGAGTCTCTGGCCCCAAAGCAAGGTGAGCCCTGTGGGGTGCTGCACCCCCCAGCTCATACCCTCCCAGGGCTCCCCCAGGAGAAAGAGGGCTTCTTGGGCTGCAGTGGTGCTGCTGTGCAGGGAGCAGGGAGAGGAGGGCTAAAGTAAGGCTTTGGCCTCATCTAGGTGGGCGTGGAGGGGGCAAGAGACATCCACAGGTGCTGCAGCCAGCACTGTGTCCCTCCAGCTGTCAAACCACAGCTGTAGGGAAAGGACCCCAGCTGGAAGCAGCACCACTGAGCTCCCTGAGTGATTTCATAGGCAGTGGGTGTATATCCTGGTGCTTAACTCATCCTGGGCTTGTTGGAGCAGATGCTCTGCTGTAGCATAGGCAGGACAGGCAAGGACTCTCCAGCAGCAGCACTGGATCCTTGCAAGGAGCCAGCCCTCCACGTGGCACCAAGACAAGGAGCAGGAAAGGTCCATCTCTAACACAGCAGTATTAAAGACTCTTCCAACAGGGGTTGGGACATCCTGTCCTGTCCCCTGGCCCTGCCTAGAGCAGTTTTGTGCTCAGGCTGGCATCAGCACTGCCAGTAGCCAAGGCTGTCCTGGTGGT